TTTGGGAGATGTGAAAACAATACCTTACATTGGTTTTAATTTTACATTTCCTTGATAACCGGTATCTTGTCATAAATTATATATATGTATGCGTTAGCCATTTCAGATACCTTCTGTTTTTTGTTTGTTTGTTTTAAATGGCCATTACGGCCATTTGGGAAGTGAACCAACAGATGGAAAATCCTAGTCCTCTGCCTGAAGCACCAGCATTCCATATGGGCACCAGTTCATGCCCAGGTTGCTCTGCTTCCCATCCAGTTCCCTGCCTGTGGCCTAGGAAAGTAATAGAGGATGGCCCAAAGCTTTAGGACTCTGCACCCACATGTAAGAGCTGGAAGAAGCTCCTGGCTCCAAGGTTTGAATCACTTCTATTCTGGGCATTGCAGTTATTTGGGAAGTGAACTAGAGGATGGAAGATCATTCTCTGTCTCTTCTCTTTCTGAAAAAAAATCTACCTTTCAAATCAAAATAATTTCTTCACAAAATGAAAAAGACAAGGACTACAGTAGCTATGGTAAGCAGGTACAAATAGAGAATCATTCAGAAAAGAAGGTATCTGGGCCCCGCGCCTTTAAAAAAAAAAAAAAGATTATCTTTATCAGAAAGGCAGATTTACAGGGAGAAGAAAAGACAAAGATCTTCCATTTGCTGGTTTACTCCCAAATGGGCATAACGGCCAGAGCTGAGCCAATCCGAAATCAGAAGCCAGGAGCTTCTTCCAGGTCTCCCACGCAGGTGCAGGGTCCCAAGGCTTTGGGCGCTCCGGAACTGCTTTCACAGGCCACAAGCAGGGAGCTGGAAGGGAAGTGGAGCAGATGGGACATGAACTAGCACCCATATGGGATCCTGGCGCTCACAGATGCAGGATTAACCGGTTGAGCTATTGCATCACTCTCCCTGCTTTTTCTTATTAACTCGTAAATTTTCTGTATATGTCCAGAACCTAACACCCCTTCGTTACACACATCAAAAGCCTAGACAGAAACAGTTCAGTTCACAAAGCCTAACAGCAACATAGTGAAGATTTCCTCATTGCCTTTAAAAAAAATTATTTATTTTTATTGGAAATGCAGATTTACAGAAAAAAGGAAAGACAGAAAGATTTTACATCCACTGGTTCACTCCCCCAAACAGCCTTAACTGCTGGAGCTGGGGCAATCTGAAGCCAGGAGCCAGCAGTTTCTTCCTTGTCTCCCACATGGGTGCAGGGTCCCAAGGCTTTGGGCTGTCCTCTGCTGCTTTCCCAGGACACAAGCAGGGAGCTGGAAGAGAAGTGAAGCAGCCAGGACACAAATCAGTGCCCATATGGGATGTTCTTGCTGGCAGGTGCAAGATTAGCCTGTCAAACCACCATGTCAGCCCCAGTTACCTTAAAAAAAAAAAAAAAAAAAAAAGTCCATTTATTTGAAAGAGCTACAGAGAAAAAGAGGGAGTGAAACGACCTTCCACCTGCTGTTGCACTCCCCAGGTGGCCGCAATGGCCCGGACTGATGCAAGGCAAAGCCAAGAGCTTCATTTGGGTCTCCCAGGTGGGTGGCAGGAACCCAAGGACTTGGGTCATTTCCACTGTTTTTTTCAGGCCATTAGCTGCAAAAAAGTGGAGCAACCAGGACACAAACAGGTTCCTATATGCGATGCCAACACCAAAGGTGGCAACTTCACCTGCAATGCCAGACCTTAGTTGTATCTCATTTTCTTTAACTTTTTATCATATAACTCTTTTGGTTATCTTTTTCTTTTTCTTTTCTTTTTTTTTTTTTCAGAGAAAAACAAATGGATCAAATTTCCCACCTCCTTGTTTATTCCCAAAAAAATCCACAGCGATAGAGATTGGGCTGAGCCGAGGTTCTAACCGGGAATTCGATGCAGGTTTCCCAATGTGGGTGGCAGGGACCCAGGTTCCTGAGCCATCACCTGCTGCCTCCCAGAGTGTGTATTAAGCAGGAAAATAGAATCCCCACTAGAGCCAGGACTCGAACCCAGCCACTCAGGAGTCCCCACTGGCATCTTAACTGCTCGATTAAATGCCCACGCTGGATCTCCCAGTTTTACATGCCAGGTTGCAACTAAGAGAAACATTTCTGGTCTACGTGGATCCTACCGGAGAGCATTTGAGGACAGCGAAAAGAATGATCTACTGCATAACATGCCTGGCCTGTAGTCGGATGCTGAGGGAGGGGATAAGTGTGTAGCTGGCCTATGTCATGATCTACATAGCATGTGCAGTATTTTTCATCTTTGATACACGAGCATGAAACCAAAGTCCATGCTACGGTTTGTTAATATATACATATCTAGGACGCTATCCATTTGCTCTCCACCTGCAGCCGGCGGTGTCTCGAAGCCAAGAGCTGCTAATCCCATTCTTTTGTTTAACAGCTCAGCCATGCCGGTCAGCCGGTGTTTATCTGATCTCAACCCGCTTGCCTTTGCTCGCTGAGTCAGGGTGGAAGTCCACCTAGCCTGGGGTTTGCTTCTTGCTTCCACATCAAAACTAAGAATGCAGCAAGTGCTCAAGAAGTGTGCCTGGGGGGTGGGAGGGAACAGAAACCGCAGAAGAGCAGACCGTAGACAGTAGGCGCTGCATCCATGTTGAGCCCAATGCAGAATTCTGAAAGTGCTTTATAAACGCTCCCTGAGTACTGCAAAGCAGCCTTCCGGTGTCCCCCCTCCCACCAGCAATACCTAACTAATTGCTGGGGTCACCTTCATTGCAGGGTCGAGTCCGTTGGGGAATTAAGTAGGCAAATCAATTGAAGATAAGCCAAGTGCTCACAGCCACCCCCCCGGGGGGTAAGCGTAGGCGCCTAATTTTGCTCCTAGGTGACACCCAGTCACTGCCTATACACGTTTCGGGCCCCTCCCTGGGGTGTGGACGCTTGGAAATTCCTTTAGTTCCCTCTAATGATGACCTGCGTAGATTTTCCCCATCTCTGAGATCCGGACGCAACCGTGCAGAGAGGACTCGCACGGGTGAGCATTCGGGGGCCACAAGACTGGGGGCCCCCCATCCTTCCCATCAGGACGTGCAAGGTGGAGTCCCAATTTGGCCCTTGGGAACCGACAGAAAGTCTCCCGACGCCGACGCTTCGCGGCTGCAAGAGCCACAGGCCGGAAAAGTGCGGGCGAGCAGGCTGCGCGCGCCGCCGTCCTCCCGCGCCCCGCGCCCCGCGCCCCTCAACCGGCCGCTCCTTTCCCCCCCCCCCCCACCCCCGTGCCTCACGCCCCCCCTCCTCCCGGACCCCGCCCCGCTCCCGCTTTCCCATTGGCAGAACCCGCCGCCTGGCCGCCCCGGGATTTAAAGGGCCCGCTCGCCGCGCCGCCCTGGGAGCCGCTGCTGGTCCCGGCCTTGCGGCCTGCGGGGGAGGCTGCCCGGAGGAGGTGGCGACGGTGGCAACGACGGCGCATCTCTGGCCCCCTGAAATACGATTGCCTTCCTGCCAGGTAAGACTCCAGAAGTGTGCGCACGAGTCCCCGGCTCCCGTCCCTCAGCCGGCCTCGCCGCGCGCCTAGCAGAAGCCAGTGTCCTGGGACCCCCGTCCCTATCACCTTTCCGACTCCCTCCCCCGCCCAGTCTATATCCCCTGCCACCACCTCCACTTCCCTGCAGTCCCCCAGCTTAGGCAGGGCTTTGTTGGCCGCCTCTCGCCGGGTGGGGGGGGTATGATGGGGAGCGCGGGGGATACAGGACAGCCCCCACATCCATACAAGAAGGGATGCACACGGCTCCCAAGTGTCACAGAATCCCCCTGTCTGCCCTCCTCACAGAGCTACTCCACCTTGGAAGCCGGGAAGCCCTCCCCCAGCCCGCCCCCAGCCCCCTTTGCCATACGGGCCTAGAATGTACACCATCGGATCATCCTTGGCCAGGACTGTTCACCGCGATCCCGAGACCCGGCTCCTGCATTCCCCGCGAGTCGCCGCTGTGTGTGTGCGTCCACAACAGTCCCCCATCCCTGCCCTCCGCACACAGACACACACGCACGCACGGTCGGCGGCTTAGTCCGATGTACCTGCCGCTCACGACTTCCCGCAGCCCCTCAGTACCATCTGTGGGTTGCGCACCCTCAAACGGAAATCTTTAAAAACGCTCCATCTGCCCGTGGACATCCTGCTCCCTCCGTGCCCTCCTCCTTCCCCCCTTTGGCAGATCTATCCATCTGTCCATCCATCCGTGGGGGTCCGCCATGGCCACCTTCAGCCGCCAGGAATTTTTCCAGCAGCTACTGCAGGGCTGTCTCCTACCTACGGTCCAGCAGGGCCTTGATCAGATCTGGCTGCTCCTTGCCATCTGCCTCGCCTGCCGCCTCCTCTGGAGGCTTGGTAAGTGCCTGCCACACCATGTGTGTGCCACTGGGCTAGACTCTGGCACACCTGCCACGTTCATCCAGGCCAAGCCACACCTTACCCTGCCGCGTCCAACCAGACCAGAGCAGGTGCCGACATGCCTGGCTCTACCACATCCCGCGAAGCCCTGTTCCAACATACCACGTCGTGCTATCCACCACGGCCACCCCTGCCACCACAGCACGCCAAGCCACATCCTGCCATACCAGGCCATGCCCTTCCGGGTTCCTGGGATGCTGAGAAGCTCATGGGGATCCTGAGGCGTAAGATCCCACACTGTGGATGATGCAGGGCTACGAACTCCCAAAGTATTCCCAACAGGATTTGGAGATTGTGACAAATTGCAGTCCTCCTGTTTTTCGGTTTCCAGGATGTTGGTAATCTAAATTTCTGTAATCAGGGCAGGATGAAAGTTCTAGATTCTCGGATGCTGGGATGTTTCGACAATCATAAGCAGGCCTGTAGCCAAGTAAGATTTCAAGTCCCCGAGGTTCCTTCAGGAGGCTGCGATTTTCTGAAAAATCTGAGATTCAAAGGTTCTGTACTTTGTTTTTATTTCATTTGAAATGGGTTTTGCAATCCCCTCCCCTCCCCCAGTTTATTATTTTGAAATATTTCAAAGCTCCTGAAAGCTTGGGGAAAAAAAACTAGCACACCGATCACACACATCATCACATTCTCCAACGGTCAGCATCTTGTCACATTAGTTTGTTCTGTCTGTCTGTCTTTCTGCCTATCTATCTATCTTCTTCTTGGATCACTGGATCACCTGCTAACATCAACACTTCATCCCAGACCCTTCAGTGTGTGGCTCTCAAGGACACTCCCTGCCACCAAGCACAGCCCTAGCTGTCACCCCCTATGAAATGTAGTGTGAAGGCAGTAATATTATGCAGCATAAACCAAGGGGTGTACTTTCCCCCCCTGGTCTCTCAAATGTGCTTTCAAGGAGCCCGGCCATGTTCTGCCACCAGCACTTCGGGCCCCTCCAGTCAGACCAAGCTCCTACCTCCTCTAGGCCTTCACCCCAACTGTGCCCTCTGCCCAGGCCATCCTCCCCTACCTAGCAGGCCACCAACCTTCCCTTTCTTGTTCTCTCTCTCTCCCTCTCTCTCTCTCTTTCCCTCTTTCCCTCTCTCTCTCTCTCCCCCCTCCCTCTCCCCCGAAGGGTTGCCATCCTACCTGAAGCATGCAAGCACCGTGGCAGGCGGGTTCTTCAGCCTCTACCACTTCTTCCAGCTGCACATGGTTTGGGTCGTGCTGCTCAGCCTGCTGTGCTACCTCGTGCTGTTCCTCTGCCGCCATTCTTCCCATCGCGGCGTCTTCCTCTCCGTCACCATCCTCATCTACCTACTCATGGGGTACGGGTGTACAGGCTCAATCCTAACACTGTTGGGGGCAAGGGTGGGTGTGGTCCCCAGGGCTCCCTCATGGAGTTGCTCAGGACAGGAGTGGGATGGGGCCTGGGGAAGGCAGGGCATTGATGTTCACAGGAGAAGCAAGGGAATCTAGGAGGATTGTTCTATGAGGAGGCATACATAGCATAGGGCAAGGATGAGCAGTATGCTGTGCAGAATGTTCCAGAAGAAGGGAGACTAGAAGACTTGTCCTTTCACAAGTCTGTACAGGTCACACAGGGCCTGGGCTTCCCCGGGAGCTGGGAGTTTGGAGCTGGGAGTTTGAGATCCCCAAGAATTATTGCTCTTGAATTTGTGCGAGGTCCAAGATGGCAGAATGCCCCCAAGCACCTTGGTCTCCCTATTGTGTGGTCTCACAGGCCACGAGGTTCATGAGACCAAGACCAAAAGGTTATTATTTTTCCTCAGTGAGATGCACATGGTGGACACAGTGACATGGCACAAGATGCGAGGTAAGTGGGTTGGCCACTTTCACTTGCCCCAGCCCTTCTGCCCACTCCCCTCCTTCTCCTTGCTCCCAGTCTGTTTCTTTGTTCCCCTTCCTTCCTCATCCATGCACCCCACTGGACATGGGGGCATTACATCCCCTTTCCATCTGTGTATCTTTTCACCATGCTTTGTCATCCTGAGTCTGTCTGGCCCATCTAACATATGACCCTGATCTCCCAGCTGAGGGTGCCTGCCTGTCCAGAGCCTTCTTGCTCACCAACCTGACAATGTGCCCCTGTATCTATCATTGGACCCCCTTTCCCTACCACCCCTCACCTGCTGCTCTCTATCCCCCACCCTTGCTGACCTGCTCTCTGCCCATCCACTTGACCATGGGTGCCACACATAGGGGCCCAGATGATCGTGGCCATGAAAGCGGTGTCTCTGGGCTTCGACCTGGACCGGGGCGAGGTGGGTGCAGTACCTTCGCCCGTGGAGTTCATGGGCTACCTCTACTTCGTGGGCACCATCGTCTTTGGGCCCTGGATATCCTTCCACAGCTACCTACAGGCTGTCCAAGGCCGCCCGCTGGTGAGGTCCCTTGGGTAGGGAGGGCGGGGGAGAAGGACAGGTGGTCAGGGACTGTGGGAACCACCATGGGGACAATACTTATTGAGCCTTTGATTCACCCTGCAGAGCCGCCGGTGGCTGCAGAAGGTAGCCCGAAGCTTGGCGCTGGCCCTGCTGTGCCTTGTCCTGTCTACTTGTGTGGGTCCCTACCTCTTTCCATACTTCATTCCCCTTGATGGTGATCGTCTCCTTCGCAAGTGAGCACAGCCTTTGAGGTCCCTGCCCAGCAGGGACAGGGATTGGGTAGGGGACCTGGGGTCTCCCCAACTCTGAGCCTGTCTCTTAATGCTTCTGTCTGTCTTCTATTACTACAGCAAGAAACGCAAAGCCAGGTAAATGAGGACAGGTGCCTGAGGGCGAGTGGAGCTGTCTGGGGGAATGGGGCCAGTGCCTATGACCGATGGCTTCATGGAAGTCTGAGTCTTCTCTGTCTGTCTGTCTGTCTCTCCATGACTAGATCGAAACTGAATGCCTTTCTGTGGCTTGTCTTTCTGATCAAGTTTGCCTCTGTGACTTCAGGTTTGACTGGTCCTCTGACACATAGTTGTCTCAGAGCTGGCTGTCCACCTGTTCAGCTATTTTGCCACAAAAACAGTGATGTGGCTGTAACAGGGAGGACAACAATGTGTTGGTTTCTGGCTAACCTGTCCATGAATCTGGCTAGAGGCGGCGACATGTAGCAGGTGGTCTACCCATTGGTGACTGATGCCTGAATCTAGGGACTCTACATCCTGGTGTGTGGAAAGGTGCCATTATCAATGAAGGGGTGGGTGGCCGTTATCGGATGTGATGAATCAGGGTGGACAATTCTGGTATGTCTATGACTCAGGCTGGGAATGGTCTGACTGTGGCTTGTTGAGTAAGTGATTGGGCTATGTGTGTGCCTTCTCTGAACACTTGCTGTTGCCCAGCTAAGGGATGTCATGGCCAACTAAGTCCCTGTATCCACTGATCGGCACAATCAATTGCCTGCCTCTGGTTTGATTCCAGAACTGGATCTACATGCTTGATTCCATAACCCCTTCCCCTACTCATGACTGCTGATTATATATGATAATGAATGAGTGAGTCCCCAAAAGGTCAAGAGACTTGACCAGTGTCACCCAGCACAGCATTCAGCCATAAAGCCTAGGACTAACTTCTGAACCTGTGCTTTTCACAGGAGCAACATGTTGCCTGTTTTTCACCATATCGGATTGTAAATCCAACAGTGTGAAAGTGTGTGCATGTGTGTCTGTCTGTCTGTTTGTCTATTGGTGTTACAGTAGCTCTGTACTTACTACAGGGTTTTCTGTCTTCTGGTCACTGACTCAGCTCTGGTAGCTGCCAAGGTCTTTGTGTCTGGCTGTGTGGCCTTTGGAGGGCTCAGAGATACAAGATTGGACCTGGCCAGAGGCGGGGCTGGCTGACTGGCTGGCCTTGCAAGGTGGCAGGGTCATGTTGTTTATAGGACCACAAATGCTAGCTGCTTGGCAGTGTGTGTCTGCGTGTGACTCTCATAGTCTACCCCTTTGGTCACATTTCTGTCTGTCTTGTCTATGGTTGACTCAGGTCAACTACCAGGGTCTCTCTGACTCTCTTATTCTTTCTTCTCTGCTGCCTTCCTGACCCATGGGAACCCTAGGGGCACCTTGGTAAGGTGAGTCTACAGAGCAGGACTGGGGATACTGCCACATGGTGGGGGTGAGGGAGATGACTCCAGAGCCTGGGCATCATGAACTCCTCTCCTGCCTCTTCCTCCCCAGGTGGCTGCGAGCCTATGAGAGTGCCGTCTCCTTCCACTTCAGCAACTATTTTGTGGGCTTTCTGTCTGAGGGCACAGCCACGCTGGCAGGGTCCGGCTTCAGCGAGCACAAGGATCATCTGGAATGGTGGGGGAGGACTTGGGGAGGATCCCTTTATCTACTCCCTCCCCAGGGTGCTGATTGCCTAGTGCACCTGCAGGGAGGTGGGGTGGAGGATCTCCTGGGGAAAGGGACAGCCCCAGCAAGGGTGATGATCACATGGGTTGAGATGTCAACTGGGGTTGGCACATCTCATTGGCCCACAGGGACCTGACGGTGTCCAAGCCACTAAATGTGGAGCTACCACGGTCCATGGTGGAGGTTGTCACAAGCTGGAACCTGCCTATGTCTTACTGGCTAAATAACTGTGAGTCACCAAGTCACCACTCTAGGGGAGCTGGTAACCTAGGTCCTTCCATACATTGACTGAGCACCTACTGTATACCAGCCACTGGAAATGCAACAGCTATGAAAACACCTCTCCCCTGGTGGAGCTTATATTTTGGGGTGGTGGAGGTGTGGCAAGAGCAGATCATAAATCAGAGAAAAAGGAACACAGGTCATCTAGGTGTCAATGGATACTATAATAAAATACTAATAATAGAGCAGGTAAAGATGATCTAGGAGTGCAGGCAGTGTTGCAATTTTAAATGCATAAGCTAGGGCCATATCCCACCACATACGAGACAAAGATTCTAGGAAGGTGAGGGAGCAAGGGGATGCAGCTATGGTGGGAAGAAGAATGCCAAATGACAGGCTCATGTGTGTGCGTGTGTGTGTATGTGTGCATGCATGTGTGCACGCACACAGAACAGCAAGATCATTGGAGCAGGCATATAGTGAGCAAGGGGGCCAGGGCTCAGAGAGGCAGTGCCTGAGGTTATGGAGAGCCTTGTGGCCCACCCAGAGGACATGGGCTGTTTTCTCTTGAGAGTGATGAGAGCTGATTCAGAAGCAGTGGGGAAGCCTCTGCAGGATTCCAGCCCAGTGCCTCTGCTGACCACTGCTGGCTGACGACTCGGCATGCCTGAAGAGTAGAAGTCAGGGCAGCTCCGCAGCAGATGGACTAGAGGCAGCATATTGCCTCAGAAGTCTTGACGCAGGAGCAGAAGAGGCCTGTAGGTGCAGGGTACAGAATCCAGGGGTTTTGCCCCGAGGCAGTAGGGAAATAGCAGTTAACCTGGGACTGAATTTGTGAGGAGCTGTTTGGGAGGGAAAGCTCCTTTAAGGCAAAAAGGGCTTTATTCCTGTGGTCTCTCCCTCTCTCCTTTCACTGCCTGCCAGAGAGCCTCTGGGAAGGGCCCAGGGAATCGCAGGGAAATGTCCACCTGCATCTTTCCTTGCAGATGTTTTCAAGAACGCTCTCCGCCTGGGGACCTTCTCAGCGGTGCTGGTCACCTATGCAGCCAGCGCCCTCCTGCACGTGAGCAGGGCAAAGTGGGATCAGGGCAAAAGCTGGGCGGAGCAGGGGGATAGGGAGTGGGAGGGGTGGGCTTCCTCCTCACTCACCTCATTAGCACCTCCCCCATCCTACCCCAACCTCCTCCCCCACCATCCCCTACCACCAGGGCTTCAGCTTTCACCTGGCCGCTGTACTGTTGTCGCTGGCTTTTATCACTTACGTGGAGCACGGTGAGTGCGGGAGATGGGGGATGACGACAGCAGGGTCGAGATGGGCTCTGTGTGGGTATGTGGGTGGGGTGTGTCTGCAGTCGCCAACCTCTGAGGCTAACCTGAACCCCTCCTTTCCCTTCCTCTACCACACAGTCCTCCGGAAGCGCCTGGCTCGGATCCTCAGCGCCTGTGTGTTGTCTAAGCGGTGCCGGCCTGACTGTTCACACCAGCATCGCTTGGTGAGGAGGGCTCAGTTCCAGCAACCACATGCCCCCCACACACCCCCTCAATAACCTTCCTTCTGCTTCCATTTTGTGTCTGTCTCAAACCGCTTCCTCTCCTGGTGCCCAATAAAGCCCCAAAAGTTCACCTCCCTTCGGGGGGCTTCCGTGTCACTCACAGGCATTTATGGGGCACCTGCTGATACCGGGCACTTTCCTAGATGCTTGCAGACACAGTAATGAACAAAACAGGCTCAAGTCCCAGCCCATATTAAATGGGAAAGATAGTTAAAAAAAAAAAAAAAGTAGTTTTTGCTTTGTTGAGCAAAGCTAAGAGAAAATACATAAATACATGTAAGAAAGGGGGTGGGGATTGGAGGGCTTCCACTTCACAGAAATCAAGGGTGAAAGTTTAGTTTGTTGGCAAAGATGACCAGATTTCCCTGGCTTGGGAGCCATACTCCATTCTGCCAACTCTTTGCTAAGGCAGACCCCTGGTGGCAGCAGTGATGGCCTGAAAACTTGGGCCCCTGCCACCAGTGTGAGAACTGGATGAGGTTCTGGCTCCTGGTTTCAGGCCAGTGCAGTCAGCCCCAGCCCTGGCTGTTGCAGGCATTTGAGGAGCAAACTAGCAGATTAGGATCTGCTATCTTGCCATCTGCCTCTGCTCTTCTCCTCCCCCTCTCCAGTAAGTAAATAAATTAATAGGGAGGTCAGTTTGGGAGGCCTCCCTGGTGACGTGACACCCTGAGTGGTGTCACGGTGGAGAGGGCAACCCAGGAAACAGGAGCAGTGCAAAGGTGCAAGGTGAAAATGGGCCTGGAAGACTTTGAAGAACAGCGAGGGGAAGCCTTGATGCTTGAGCAGAGCGAGCCAGAGGGGAAAGCAGTTGGGAGGCATGAGCCTTCTAGGTCATTTGGGAATTTGTTTTGTCCTTCCTGTTCATCATAAACAATAGCATAATTTCCTGTTTGTCTCACATAATTGATCATAATTAATCCCCATGAATCCCCCATCCTGGTAGGCCCCTGCTCCTACCTCCCACCCCCACCAGCATACTTGCATATCCCCCTCCCACCAAGCCTGACCCTGTTACCCTCATTGGTAATAGCCTTTCATGCTTGGGGACCTCTGAGCATCCCTCAAAGGGATGCTTCCTCAAAGCCTCTCTTATACCTCTGCGGATTTACCCTGGGCATCCTCATTCCTGAGACTCACTGTATCCTGTACGTGTGTGTGCATGTGCATGCATACGTGCACACGTGTGTGTGTCCTTGGGCTCTCTGTGCAGGTGGAGGTGAAGGGCAGTACCTCATTCAGCTGCCAAGTGTATCCATCTGTCCTCCACAGGGCCTGAGGGTACGAGCCTTAAACTTGCTTTTTGGGGCCCTGGCCATCTTCCACCTGGCCTACCTGGGCTCCCTGTTTGATGTTGATGTGGACGACACCACAGAGGAGCAGGTGAGGTGGGGCCCTGGGTAAGGGGATGTACCAGGAATGGTGCTACCTGGTCTTGAGCAGCAAGAAGGTGAAGATGGGGAGATAGAGGTTGCAGCTCCTGGAATTGGGTCTCTCAGCCAGTGCACCTGCTTCGTCCTTTCCTGCTGCCCCTCTTGTTGAGTCACACTGCTGGATGTTCTGTTTTGGAGAGATGGGTAAAAATCTGCTTACTTGTCACCATTATAACAATTTATTCTACAGAGATGGAGTAAAGCTCATGGAAAATGCATACAATTTTAAAAGTGTACATGGATTTCAAAACCTTTTTTCACTAAAGGAAATATACCTTTTAATTCCATTCTGTGAACTTTTTGAAATATCCTCATATTTTATTTGATTTTTGTTTAGGTGGAATTGGCAAGCTTTCTTTCTTTTTTTTTTTTTTAAGATTTTCTTTATTTTTTTATTTCAAAGTCAGATATACAGAGAGGAGGAGAGACAGAGAGGAAGATCTTCTGTCCAATGATTCATTCCCCAAGCGGCTGCAATGGCCAGTGCTGCGCTGATCCAAAGCCAGAAGCCAGGAGCTTCCTCCAGGTCTCCCACATGGGTGCAGAGTCCCAAGGCTTTGGGCTGTCCTCGACTGCTTTCCCAGACCACAAGCAGGGAGCTGGATGGGAAGTAGAGCCACCGGGATTAGAACCGGTGCCCATATGGGATCCCAGAGTGTTCAAGGCGAGGACTTTAGCCACTAGGCCATCTCGCCAGGCCCTCTTTTTACTCAGTTTGAATGTGCAAATTCTGGATTCTGCTGCTTTAAAGTTTTACTTTACCATTTTACTTTAAAGTCTATTTGCTATTTCTGCTTGTCCAGCATGCAAGTTGTAGATTTTTCCTCCATTTTAGAGTAAGAACAGTTTGATTGAAAATTGAAATTTTAGCTTACCTGAATTTTGATTCAGGTTGTAGGCACAGAATCTGAGTCTTATTTGTCTTCAAATAAATATTTTATCCCATTTTTATTAAGATAGACAATGCCTGTCACGTGGTTCAAAAGCATAGAACATTCCAGATATTCAGGGAAAAGTTCTGCTCCCCACTCTATCCTCTGCCCTTTTTATAGGTAATCACTTTATTCATTTTATAAAAATATCCTTCCAAAGTTTAAACATATCAAGCAGAAATAAAAATATGTTAAAGTCCCTCTTCTTGTTTTTTATAGGAGGTAACAAAGGTGACACATGTATGATACTGTCCTGCAATTCTTACAAATCTCCCATAGCAGCTGATAGAGCGTCTGCATTCATTTTTTTTTTTCCCACTGTGAGAATATAACGCAATTTAAGTTGTCCCTTAGTGGTAGACACTAAGCGGGAGGCCAGTCTTTTCCTATTGCAAATTCCCTTGAAAAACATGTGATCAGGCTTGTGTGTTCTCCAACGCAGGATGGCTCTCAAACATCCTGGATGTGTGTGCCAGTTCTGCAGGAGGAAGACTATGAGTGAGGCTGATCATCTTGTTTAAGAGCCTTTTGTTTGTTCATTAGTGGGATGGTCTACTAGCCTTCTGTGGTAATTTTTAACTTAAAAAAAAAAATGAACTCTAGTAGCTCCTTATATATTAGGGAGTTTGCAGGTCAGAGAGTAAGATTGCCTTGTCTTTTTTACTATTTTTTTTTCTTGTTTTCATTTTTGTCTTGCTTTTAATTTTTTTTTTTTTTTTGGTAAGAGACAGCAAAAACTATGCATGGTTACCTTTGAGATGTACCCAATCCCTTCTGTGGAACCTCACCTAGGCTGCTTTGGAGTCACCAAATGTCCTTGGAGAGAATGGGTCATCATAAGATGCTGTTTATTCTTGCTGAGTGAGACCATCGCCTCTTTCTTTCCCACAGGGCTACGGCATGACATACACTGTCCACAAGTGGTCAGAGCTTAGCTGGGCCAGTCACTGGGTCACTTTCGGATGCTGGATCTTCTACCGTCTCATAGGCTGAGGCATAGGATTCTCTTGGCCCCCTCCCCCCAAGATCCCTCCTCCTCAGGGTGCCAGGCTCTGATGAGGAAATGAGGGAAGGCCGTCTCTACTCCCTTGACCTCACTCTATCCATGATTCCCAACATCTCTACACACACACACACACACACACACAGACACCATTCCCATGCCTGTCAATCCTCACCCTTCCACAAGGGCAGGCAGGGGATGGACCCTGCTGGGGCCTAGGGGTGGGGGGATAGTTAGGAAAGCAGAGAAGGGGAGATCCAGGGCCTCCCCGCCTACCTTCTCCCTTTTTATATTGTTTGTTATTGTCAAATAAAAGTAGGAAATATCAGTGGGCTCTTTCTTCACTGTTCAGAGGGAAATTGGAATAAGGAAAGGGGTGTGGCGTGGATTAAGGGTGGGAACTGGAAGTCATGAAGAGACAACGTACTGTGATTGGTTCATGCCTCATTTGTGATGGTTCATGATTGGATGGCGGGCCTGCAGAAAAGTCCTGGTCCTATTTGATTTGAGTGGAGGGGAGACAGATTGCACAGATGGGTATCAGAGGAGTCTGATACTGAGCTGACAAATCTAGGGCTCCCCCTTTGGACTGACCACTCTCGCCAGACAACAAGGAAGGAAAGCAAAACATTGTTTGGGATTGCACCTTGCAGGTGCTAAACAGATGGTAGGTCTAGGATGGGTCTGGATTCTGATGCATTGCTCCCTCTGGGTGCCCACTGGTTTAGGGTTATGGCATTCTGCCTGATTCTTTAGAATTGGCATCGTTGAATCTCCATGCCAATTGGCCAGCCAGGCTAAAGGAATTGAAATCTGATTAGTTTTTTGAGGCTTACTGCTGCTATCCTCACAGAGTTCTGAGCGCTGAACGGCGTGAGGGAGGTGGGGAGGGGAGGGGGTGCAGGGTACAGGATGTGTGTGATCGGCCTGTAATATTAAGATTCCGTGGTTTAGTCTGGGAACGCAGGGGGTGTTCAGTGTAAGAAACAAAGGCAGAGTTGAAAGGACTGAGCCAGACAGATTGACCAGCCCACCAGGGCATGGCCCCGCCTCTATCCCGCTCCTGACTGGGTCTCAGCCAACGACAAAAATGGCACCATGCTAGAGGACCGGGCCAAACTGCACACAGAGAGCTCCCATTGGCTGGGAGCCGCACCTGCCGTCTTCCTCGCCTCTCCATTGGCCTGCTCTATTGGGCGGGGGAACCCTTGAAGGGAAGGACAGCCCGGAGGAGCTACGCCACGGAGCCAGCGAGCTCGCAGAGAGAAGAGAGCCGAGAGACCGTTGGAACCGCCACTGCCGTCCCGGGGCTGGGTGAGTGCCCTCCGGCCGACTCACTCCTCCTTTCCCTAATACTTGATCGCCAGACCCTTTCCCCGCCACCAAGGCGTGCGCCTGCGCGAGATGCAGCTGCTGCGCGGTTGTCCGGACGAGGGTGGGTCCGCCTTCTCATTGAGCCGCTGGACCCGAGGGTTCTAGTTCTGATTGGTGGACTCCCTAGTTGGCGGTCCTTTTTCTGTTTACCACAACTGTCCACAAGACCCTAGACTCTGAGGAAAGCTCCGGCTTTCTGAGCTGGCGCTGGGCTAAGGGTCTTCGTGGGTTCCAATCATTCCTTTCGCTTTCGTTGTCCAGCTGCAGTTTCCAGGACTAAAAGCGGGGGAATAGTTTTACATGGGAAGATGCTAGGCACTGATAACTCCTGTGGGACCAGGCTAGCTTCCTTTGACTCGCGCCAAACAAAGACTAGACCTGATGACTGACTGTGACTCTCCCAACCGACTGCGACCAATGAACCCCGGAATTAAGTCTCGATTCTGTGTGTCCTGTGAGCACTGCGATTTGGGCCCAATCCTGAGTCGCCCCCCAACCCCCAATCTCTCCCCAGCCCCAAGTCTGACTCTAGATGGCTAGGATTTGACCTTGGTCTTCAAATCAACTCTGGTTTGTATATTCGCTTCCAAACTGGGACCTCTTGAAACTGGAACCTCTTGGGGTCAGGCCTCCTATTTCCTGTGGTGGTGTTTTTTTTATTTGTTTGTTTTTTTGTAAAATTATTTCACTGAAAGTTATTTTTTAATGGTTTTTCTTTAGTTATCACTAGACTTTTTTTTTGGAAACTTTTAAAATATTATGTATTTTTACTTATCTGAAAGGCAGAGAGGGGGAGAGATACCTTCTATCTGCTGGTTCACTCCCTAAATACCAGCAACCAGCAACAGTCAGGGCTAGGCCAGGCCAAAGCCAGGAGCCAGAAACTCCATCCAGATTTCTCACATGGGTGGCAGGGAGCCAGGTACGTGGGCCATCACCTGCTGCCTCCCAGGGTGTGCATCAGCAGGAAGCAGAACCCATGCACTGTCCTGTGGCATGCAGGTGTCTTGGCCACTGAGCTGCAACAAGCTTTCAACCTTTCAGTGGCCTTTTATTTCAGTCATGTTCTCCAAACAGCATATAATTAGGTTATTTTCAATCCAGCCTCACTGTCTGTTAGTTAAATTCAGCCCATTGGCATTTCTATTGTAATGTTATGTAGCTTTGATTTTACAATCTCATTTTGTGATTTCTGTTTGTCCAGGTTGTTCCTGTTCCTTTTGCCTGCGACCTGTTTATCCACACAAAGCCCGCCAAGCATCATGACCTCCAACAGTGGCCCCTTGCATCCATATTGGCCTCGGCACCTGAGGCTGGACAACTTTGTGCCTAATGACCGCCCTACCTGGCATATCCTGGCTGGCCTCTTCTCTGTCTCAGGGGTCCTGGTTGTGATCACATGGATGCTGTCAGCCCGGGCTGCTGTCGTGCCCCTGGGGACTTGGCGGCGACTATCCCTGTGCTGGTTTGCAGTGTGTGCGTTCATTCACTTGGTGATTGAGGGCTGGTTCAGTCTCTACCATGAGATCCTCCTTGGAGATCAAGCCTTTTTATCACAACTGTGTGAGTACTGGGTTCTTTCTAGGCGGGAGTCATCTTGGTTACTTACCCACCCACCATATTTCCTTCTGCTAGTTTATTTGGAAAACTGGCTGCACATAATAGTCACACAGAACAACAATAACAAAAAAAAAAACAGTTGTGGTATTTATGATACATATACATCACATGTACAAGAGGTTTGCATCCACAATTCCTGGTTTATAGTTCTCCAAGGCAAGTGAGAGAAAGGCAGACTACACATGGAATATAGTAAGCTTCTTTCACTCCAGTGGTGTCTCACCCCATGCCCTCAAAAATGGAATGCTGTAGCATCTGGACAGGCCTTGCTGGGGCTCCCCACCAGACTTATTAGCAATCATGCATAAGTAATGTCACCTCCATTATATATATATAAAAGACAAGGTCCAAAATAACACCCACATAGAAGGGTGGGCCCTAATGAAGGCATGATAACCATACACTTCTCTCATTCCTTGCTTTATGCGTCTCTTCATCCACATCCTTTGTGATAAACTAGAAAATGTGTGTGTTCTGAGGCTTTGTGAGCCGTTCAAGCATATTCATCAAGTCTAAGAAATGAGTCATGCAAACTCCAGTTCATGGCCTGGGGGCTTAAGGGAACTGAGCCTTCCACCTGAGGGGGTGGAGGGGGGGTGGTGGTTCTGCACTGAATGGGAGTACAGGACGCCCAGTCGCAGGTTTGGTGCTGCAACACAGCCAGCTTGCTGGTGGGGAACAATCTACAACTTGTGAGGTCACAGAAGTCTTTTTTTTTTTTAATTTTTTGATACTTTTAAGATTTATTTTTATTTTTCTTGGAAAGTCAGGTATACAGAGAGGAGGAGAGACAAAGAGGAAGTTCTTCTGTCCGATGATTCATTCCCCAAGCCCGCAATGGCCAAAGCTCAACCAATCTGGAGCTAGGAGTTCCTTCCAGGTCTCCCACGTGGGTACAGGGTCCCAAGGCTTTGGGCCATCCTGAACTGCTTTCCCAGGCCACAGGCAGGGAGCTGGATGGGAAATGGGGTCGCTGGGATTAGAACCAGGCCCTAGGGTCACAGAAGTCTTACATGTTGATCCTTATGGTGTGAGAACATAGGAAGCAAAGTGTGGATGTCTGTTTGACTCAACAGGTATTGATGGGAAGTTGTCCCAGTCTTAGGTTGTTAGAAACAATATTCCTTTCTGGCCTCCTGAGTAGCATGGCTGGGAATATTTCAGCCAGGTTTTTGAATGGACATCTGCATTCATTATTTTTGGGTAAATGTGAAGGTATTTTAAAAAGTCCATGGAAAATGAAATTAAAATTTATTGGTTGCAAACATTTGCTTTTTAAAATCCATGCATAATGCTTTAGCTCCCTGATAATGCACCTGGGGAAGCAACAGAAGATAGCCAAATGCTTTGGTCCCTGCACCCATATGGGAGACCTGGAGGAAGCTCCTGGCTCCAGGTTTCATATCAGACTCACTCCTGTCACTGTGACCATTTGGGGAGTGAGCTGGTGGATGGAAGATCTCCCTCTGTTACATGGAGAGAGAGATCTTCCTTCTGCTGGTTCACTCCCAAATGCCCACAATAGCTATGGCTAGACCAGTCCAAAGCCAGGAGACCAGAGCTCTTTCCAAGTCTCCCATGTTTTAGGGAGTCAAGCACTAGGATCATCTGCTGCTGCTTTCCCAGGATCATTAACAGGGAGCTAGATTAGAAATGGAACAGCCAGGGCCCAGTATGGTAGCCTAGCGGCTGAAGTCCTCGCCTTGAAAGCACTGGGATCCCATATGGGCACTGATTCGAATCCTGGCAGCCCCGTTTCCCATCCAGCTCCCTGCTTGTGGCCTGGGAGGGCAGTTGAGGATGGCCCAAAGCCTTAGGATCCTGCACCTGCATGGGAGAGCTGGAGAAAGTTCCTGGCTCCTGGCTTGGGATCTGACATAGCACTGGCTGTTGCAATCACTTGGAGAGTGAATCATCGGACAGAAGATCTTCCTCTCTGTATATCTGACTTTGCTATAAAAATAAAATAAATCTTTAAAAAACGAAAAAAGAAATTGAACAACTAGAACATGAACCAGCACCTATATGAGATGCTGGTGCCATAGGCAGCAGCTTTATGTTACAATGTTAACCGCAGTTGTACCTTTTTCCATTCCCACCAGCAGCATAGTAAAATTTTAGTTCCTCCATATTCTCACCCAGTGTTTGTTAAATTTTAGTGGGTATGAGTGGTATCTCATCATGGTTGCTAGTTGCTTTTACCATTTGAGGGCCTTTTGTGTATTTATCAGCCATTTGGAAATCCTGTTTTGTGAACCCTCCTGCCTAATTTCATTTGAGGTAGTTCTTTCTTATCCATTCTCTGCTCCCTCTTTGGTTCACTGGTCTGTTC